CCCCTCTCCTCCCCCCGTCTTCCCCTTTCCCCCCTCCTCTCCCCTTCTTTCCCTTTCCCCTCTCCTCTCCCCTTCTTCCCCTTTCCCCTCTCCTCTCCCCTTCTTTCCCTTTCCCCCCTCCTCTCCCCTTCTTTCCCTTTCCCCTCTCCTCTCCCCTTCTTTCCCTTTCCCCTCTTCTCTCCTCTTCTCTTTTTTGTTTAGTTCTTTTTCTTGCCAGAGGGCACATGCACTTGGCAGAGAGAGAAACCCCATGGTGGGGAATGGCCACTCCACAATCCTTTTTCACCATTCTCCGTCCCATGGGGATTTAGAGACTGTAGATGGGGTTGGCGTGTGCTTCAAGTTCCCAGGCCCTGGATTTGAACTATGGTTGGCACGTAGGCGCTGGCATAACAGGTACCCACTGTGTTACGGGGCCAGCCACAGGGGCCTTCTGTGTTCTACACTTGGCCAGTACTATCAAAGTAATCGAAACCATGAAAACGTACTATAAAAACGAAGCAGCTTAATCTGATGTAGAAAGAAAGTAACAGACAGAAATTCTATTAAAGAAAGAGCAGGGCCCAGCAGGTGGAGTGGTGGTAAAGGCACTGGACTCCCACACAATCAACTGTGGTTCGAGTCCTGGATCCAGTGGCTTGAAACTCATGCTCGGTGCTTGCACACGCATGACCAAAATCTGAGGAGGAGAAGGGGTTGCCGTGTGGCCATCTCCCTGGGGGTGTACTTTCTCACTTTTTCTCTCTCTGTCTCCCTCTGGGGAGTGCACGTGTCCTATGGAAAAAAACTGAAAAAAAATAAAAAAGGGAAAAGAGAAAAAGCAAGAGCAGGGGGGAGTTTTTGCATCACGTGGCAGCGTCCCTTGGGGAGGACCACCATCGTCGTGAACATGAAAGTCAATCATCTCGTGGGGTGGAGGGGTGACCAGGCTTCTCAGGCAACCCTGGGTTTGGGATGCATCACCTTGACACAGCGATGCACTTTCCCATCTTGGAAATTTCACTTAACTCATATGCCTGTCCTAGCCTCCTATTGAAATCGATTCTCTCTCCTCGAGCACACCCAGACAGCCACGCAGTGGCTGCAGAGCTCACCGAGTTCATCCTCTCCTAGTGCCCTCGCACGGCCTGGCGCCCAGTGCGGTTGGGCAGGGTGGCCGCTTTGTGGCTACAGCCCGGGCAGCCGGGTGCGCAAGGACAGAGACTGGCCTCCTGGGCCCGGCTGCAGGAGCTGCCTCCTCTGCTTTTCTTCCAGATAAGAGTCTGAGTGGTCTTTTTTTTTTTTTTTTTTTTAACTACAGAACAGTATTATTTTAAATTATTATTATTATTTTTTTTTACATATAACTTTACATTGACTTCCATTGCTATTTCAAAAGGGAATGCCATGCATGTCAGTCAATACAGAGACATCTATCTCCCCGCTTTATCATTCAATGTCTTTTCCATGCATTTCCCAATAATTACATTCAATGTATTTTCCATGCATTTCCCAATAATTATTATTATTATAATTTTTTAAAACAGTCAATCACTATTTCTCATTTTGCTTGTTAAAAGACTTCACCCATCATGAAATACTTCCCAGACCAGTTCAGTTGAGAATACTATACACGTCATCATCAACAGATAATAAACCATATCTGTTTCTCACTAACATCCCCTCTATTGTTCACTTGCTATCTTTCTCTATCCTCTTTTTTTTTA